ATGGGCGTGTGTACATGTGTGTAGTCATATAACGTGCACATACCTTTTTGTGTCTATGTGTGTATGTACCTATATGAATGTATATTCGGGTGCATATTCACATTTATATGTATTATCATGCATGAATGGACCAGCATTTGTGTGGACCAGAATTTTAATGTGTGCACAAATGGGCCCATGAGTTTGTGTTTGTATATTTGAGTGTGTGCTTACCTGTGTCTGTACATGTGTGTCTGTGTGTGCAAGCACATGTGTACCTTTGAGTATCTGCCAAGTATACGTGCATGTTTGTAGGCAGAGACTGCTTGTTCATTTCCTGGCCCCCACACCTGAAATAATCACATAGAAACTATATTATAAATTGCAATACTGCTTGTCCTATTAGCTTAGGATTTTTGTTAACTCTTACATCTTAAATCAACCCATTCCTATAATTTTATATTTTACCATGAGGCTTGTGGTTTACTGGCAAGGTTCTGGAGTGTCTGTCTTCTTCAGCAGCTACATGGCATCTCTATGACTCTGCCTTTCTTTCTCTGTCTCTGCTTGGAATTCCCACCTTGCTCTATTCTGCACTGCCATAGGCCCAAAATAAACCTCTTTATTAACCAATAGTAATAAAACATATTCACAGCATACAGTGGAAAATCCCATATCACATGTATTCATACGTACATGTCTACATATGTGAATATACACCTTTGTGTGTGAGGTGTGTGCATGTGTGTGTGCCTATGATAAAAAGCAGACTGAAAATGGAGAATACTGTTAAACAAAACTGGTGAGAGGCCATTATTTTGAACCAGGTTCCTGGGCTTCAGCAGACCAGACTGAATCAGATGGAGTCACTTATGCTAATGCCATGCAGTCAGGCTGGTTGATGTCAGCCTGTTTTTCTATACCAGGTTATTCATAACAGTTGAAGGGGCCCATCTTACCTGAGCCAACATGCTTGGATATCTCCATTACTCTTATTCCTTTAAGGGAGTCATCTTTGAATGACGAGCCCACTTTTTGTCTCCAGTTTTTGCTTTCTTTAGCCAATTTCTGCCGGAAGAGCCAATCTCATTAGACCACCCATTGCATTTTATAGAGCAGAGCCTTGTTCAGCATTAGAGTCATCAATAAAAATCAATTAGTCTTTAAATTTGTAGTAACTTTATCTTTTCCTCGCAAACAATTGCTTAATATAAATTTGAATTACATGGGAGCCTTCGGAAGTGACACAAATCATCGAGGAGACTTGAAGGACTTTCATGACAAGAGGACAGCAGCTTGATGACAAGAGGGTGGCCATGGGGAAGCATGGTTGCATAGTGTATGGTGCTATGAGAGACTGGGAGAAAATATGCATGTCCTTGTAACTTTTCAATGTTTTCATTTCTTCTCTTGTGTTTGGTCTCTTCTTAAATGAGGACCTTAGGACCGCCCTCAGAAGAAGGTCAGAATATTCTTCCTGGGTCTCTTGACCTGCCTCAGAGCAAGTCAGGGGAAGATAGTGGTGGTGGTCTCTCTACTGCTGTGTTTCAGATGTCAAGAAACAGCCCATTCACACCCGGTACTTCTCTGAGCTTTTGAATAAAGCTTATAGTGTTGGTCATAATCTTGCCTCGGTCTTGCTTTTGGATTTAGTGGTTGGCTTCATAAGATCACATATGACAGGAGATCAAAGGTCACCTGGGGAAGGTTGTGCAGAGATGACCAGAGGCAGTGAAGACGGGATCAATGAGATCCACATTGAAAATAAAAGTTTATGAACTGCCTGTAATATAGGGAGAGAACTGGCTGACATGGACTTGAGAAGAAAAAAACTTGGAATTTAGGTATTGTTAAATAACCTAATTAATAAAGGAGATAGTGCAATATTGTGATGGCCTGGAAAAGCACTTAAGAAACCAGTGATTTATGTGTAATTTAGCAAGAAAATATTACGGTAAGACTGTTGTACAGCATATAAATGTTTAACGTCCAAGAAGTCATGAATCTTTGGAATGGTCTCTCCTACTATGCTGAAATTATTTGCACTACAAGTCAACAAAAAGCTACAGTTAGCAAGTAACGTCACATGCATGTATATAGTAATGCACAGCCAGAGAAGAGATAAGTATATCCCAGGATCCTTTGTGAGTCTGTTGCTCGGTTGCACATCGAATGGACATGCTGCCTATCTTTTTCTGATCTTGATTTTAATTGCATGATGTCCACTTTCAGTTAGAGTTCTTGATACTGTTTAGGAACAAAAGAAATAATGACCTTGTAGGCTTTTCTAGAGATCTTACATAAACCTACAAGGCAACTGTGTTAGAACCTATGTGAGACTATTGTCTACTTTGGGTCCTAGGCCACCTTCTGTTGCCTATCCTTTTATACATGGGGTTTTCTTTCTTTCTTTTTATATTTATTTATTTTATATTTATTTTTTATTAAGCTCTACATTTTTCTCTGCTCCCCTCCCTGCCCCTCCCTTCCCCTTCAACCTCTCCCATGGTCCCCATGCTCCCAATTTACTCAGGAGATCTTGTCTTTTTCTACTTCCCATGTATGTTATATCCATGAATGTCTCTCTTAGAGTCCTCATTGTTGTCTAGGTTCTCTGAGATTGTGATTTGTAGGCTGGTTTTCTTTGCTTTATGTTTAAAAAACCACTTATGAATGAATATATATGATAATTGTCTTACTGGGTCTGGGTTACCTCACTCAAAATGATGTTTTCTAGCTCCATCCATTTGCCTGAAGTTTCAAGATGTCATTATTTTTTTCTGCTGTGTAGTACTCCATTGTGTAAATGTACCATATTTTCCTTGTCCATTCTTCGGTCGAGGGGCATTTAGGTTGTTTCCAGGTTCTGGATATGACAAACAATGCTGCTATGAACATAGCTGAGCACATGTCCTTGTGGCACAATTGAGCATCCTTTGGATATATACCCAAAAGTGTTATTGCTGGGTCTTGCGGAAGGTTGTTCCTAATTTTCTGGGAAATTGCCACACTGATGAGCCTTCTTTATTGGAACACTTCTGTTTGCATCTTGACACCTTTGTGTCCTCTCAGGCTGCCATAGTGAAGAATTTCAATCATTCCAAAAGGACCATGGGAAATTATTGCAGTTAATGATAGAGGCCGATGATACTGCTCTAGCCTTAATTTGGATTGTCTGTTAATGACAACAAAGGTGTTTCAGCTTTCTAATTACATGGATGTTGTTAAGATGCAATAATATTAAAAGGGAGCACATGTATGTGTAGAATGAGTTTAACCATGGAAAACAAACTTGAAGAAAACTTAAGAGGTTGAGGGGAGCATATTAACATTTTAATATAATTAACTTCAGGATGGGCAAATACATACGCACATACAAACATATGTTCTCACATATAGGTACACCCATACACACACACACACACACACATATATACATACACACATACATACACCATTCTTCAGACTGGGCAAATACATACACACATACATACATATACACATACATACATGCAGATATACATACATACACACATGCATTACATACATATATACACATACATTTATATACATATATAGTATATATTCTTTTTACCCTTTGCTAATTAAAGTTTAAAAATAAAAATGAAAGACAAATCTGGTAGCACAAAAAATATTACCTGTACTAATATATAATTGCTGTGATAAGGTCCTGAAAAGGCCGTTTTCTTATAATTAATTTCTATGAGTTTATTTCTCATGGGTTTTCATAGATACTTTCTCCAGTGCGGCTACTGACACGGATTTATGCTTACATTACCACTAGAGTTCATATTCTTGCCTCTGATGATGGCCTTCCATAAAACCCAGCGGCAGAGCATTGAAAGTGAAGTCAATGGAGGTTGACCTTGGGCGGAGCCCTCGCACAGTAAAGAGGGAGGTTCAGGTGGCTGGCCTGGTCTAGGGATCTTACAGAGTCATTGGTTCCAAGGTCACAGAATAAGCTGATGGCAGAGTCAGAATTAGCTGCTGTGACTCTCGATTTTTCATCCCGGCAGACAGTGCCACACATCTTTCTGCTTTGCTGCGAATCAAGACAGGTACTTCCTTCAGCTCAACCCACCGCCAGCTTGGATCTTTTCTCCAGACACTGCAGGTATCTGTCACATTCAGTTTGTCTTCCACAAAACTACATTTTAAAAATCTGGAACTCAACTTTTCTCTAGGGGCAGGAGAAAGAGGTGTTGAAGGGAAGACCGAAGCACACGCACTTACACAAGCGTGCACACTCACGTAATTGTGTGTATCTTAGGTTGACAAGGCCTTGAGGAAATTTAGACATATATCCCAATTTTATACACAAGAGACCAACCGTGAAACATTAGTCCTCCGTGATTAATGGAGAGAAATTATAATGTAAGTGATGGGAAATTTACAATATGCTTTTAATATAATTAAATGCAATATCTCTATTGGCTCTTAACTCTTGTCTAAGCCTTGTATTGGCTTCTCTCCAGAACTAACACATTTCATCCAGCAATATGAGAACATATTTAAAGAAAAAGAGAAATTCTTTCCATCTTCAACTTAATATTCTTCTGACTAAAGAGTAGTCTATGAAATTTAGTTTCTATATTATGAAAGAATTGCTAGATTGTTCCAGTAATTTTTTTTTTATAAAATCAAGGACTATTTTAAGTAAAAAAGAACACACAAATTCATTAAGTCTTTTCTCATTGTACACGTTGGGAAACTGAGTCCAGAGAGGTCACACTGTGGCTAACCACTAACTGATCCTGTGATTTTCTTTTCTTTTCATTCAAAACTAAATTTTTGAGCATCCATTATGTTTCCTATCATACGTGTTAAAAACAAAACTTTACTTTATGGTGTCTTTAATACAGAAATATTCTCTCCTTTGGATGCTAGGTTCAACTTTAATTTTTTTTGCTTTTCTTTTTTATTTATTTAAGATTTCTGTCTCCCCCACCGCCGCCGCCCCTTTCCCTCCCCCTCCCCCAATCAAGTCCCCTTCCCTCGTCAGCCCAAAGAGCAATCAGGGTTCCCTGCCTTGTGGGAAGTCCAAGGACCACCCACCTCCATCCAGGTCTAGTAAGGTGAGCAACCAAACTGCCTAGGCTCCCACAAAGCCAATACGTGCAGTAGGATCAAAAACCCATTGCCATTGTTCTTGAGTTCTCAGTAGTCCTCCTTGTCCGCTATGTTCAGCGAGACCGGTTTTTATCCCGGGCTTTTTTCAGACCCAGGCCAGCTGGCCTTGGTGAGTTCCCCATAGAACATTCCCATTGTCTCAGTGTGTGGGTGCGCCCCTCGCGGTCCTGAGTTCCTTGCTCGTGCTCTCTCTCCTTGTGCTCCTGATTTGGACCTTGAGATTTCAGTCCGGTGCTCCAATGTGGGTCTCTGTCTCCTTTCATCGCCCGATGAAGGTTAATATTCAGGAGGATGCCTATATGTTTTTCTTTGGGTTCTCCTTCTTATTTAGCTTCTCTAAGATCACGAATTATAGGCTCAATGCCCTTTATTTATGGCTAGAAACCAAATATGAGCGTGGACCCAGCAATACCACTCTTGGGAATATACCCAAGAGAGGCCTTATCATAGAACAAAAGTATATGCTCTACTATGTTCATAGCAGCATTGTTTGTAATAGCCAGAACGTGGAAACAACCTAGATGCCTTCAATTGAAGAATGGATGAAGAAAGAATGGAATATATACATATTAGAGTACTACTCAGCAGTAAAAACAAGGACTTCTTGAAGTTTGCAGGCAAATGGATGAAAATAGAAAACACTATCCTGAGTGAGGTAAGCCAGACCCAAAAATAGGAACATGGGATGTACTCAACTTTAATTTTTTAAGAGAAGCAAGTGGCTCCAGCAGTGAAAGACAGTCTGTACATGCAAACCAAGGCCTCCCTTGTAGTGGTTCTCAGTCAAGAGTGATGAAATCCCCTTGAGCAAGAAATAAGTCTTGCTCTTCTTCACTGTTGTCTTGACATGCTGATTTAAACCTATCCTCTGGTCATCAGCTAATTATGCCTGGGATTTTTAAGTGGTTACTATACAGAAAAGCAGGGCTTGGTTTTGAGTCTGTGTGTAGTATAGTCATTGGTGCTTCTGTCTTACACAGTAAAAATGGCTAACTGAGAAGGATACAGTGAGCATGAGTCAGACTGGGGAGCTGTCCATTATGAGTGTCAAAGGAGGAGAGATCTGGAAGGAATGGGTGGCCATTTGCACCATCATCTGCAGTTGAGATCAAGTAGAACGGGTGTTACAGAGGGCTCAGTAAACTTATCAGTCACTAGCTTATGTGTCCAGTGGTAACCTTTGGTGAACGTTTTCAGAGCAGTGCCTAGGTGGCTTTTGCAGATCATTCTTGAAAGGGATCTGTGGCAAAGAAAAGAGAAGAAATGTCCAATTATAACTGTGGCTGGGGATGTGGGGTGCACATCTTTAATCTTAGAATCCAGGAGGCAGAGGCAGGTAGATCTGAGTTTGATGCTAGTCTAATGTACATAGTGAGTTCCAGGACCTCCAGGGCTAACTAGCAGGCTGGGAGTGGTGGCACACAGGCAGGAGGAGGATGAATCCAAGGCCAGCCTACACTATGTAGAAAGACCTACCTCAAAACAAAACACAGGTAAATCGAAACAAAAAATACCTTCCAAATGTCAAATCAGTTGCAATCTGATGAAGCTTATAAATTTAATCATATTAAATTTTCATTACTAAGCTATTATCAGCTCCTTCCTATATTGAAAGGAAGAAAACTCATCTTCCATGTGAAGAGTATGAGGAGATACTGAAGGCAGAGAAAAGGATGTAAGCAAGATGAAAGAGAGGTGGAGAACTGGAGCAACGTGACCACTAGGGACCGAAGAAAGGGAATTTCTGCCAGCGTTTCACCAACATCAGAATCATGCAATTTTCTTTTTGGTATGCTCTGTTTAGTTTCTTGGCTGTGATGAAAAATTGATATGTTTAACTTATACAGTCAGCCTTAGCAAGATGATATGCACCTCGTAATTGCACCATAATTACATTAAAAGGCAGAGGCAATTTTCTCCCGAGTGTGGCCACCCACTCAGAAGATTGGTGTATAGAAAGCAATCGGGCGCATTTCATCAACGTCAGGCCCGATTTACAATGCTCCGTCAAAGTGTAAAACAAGTTCCCAGACCCGAGGTCAACAAGATTTAAATGTCACACATTCTGTGATAACAATAACAGTGATGTTAAAGATATCCCCCTGTGACCCATGGTGCTTTTCAGTTTTCCGGGAAAGCAGCCTTGTAATGAGCCCCGTTTCATTCTGTTTATGCAGCATGCTGCACAGTTCATTCCCTTTCCCCCCATGTCACAATGGTCCAGAGAAGTGAGAATAGCTGATGTTATTTTTATTTCCAAGGTGGGAAAAGAGAGTCCTGGAAGCTCAGTGATTGGCTGACAGCTGCCCCATAGTAAATGGAGAGGGAGCAACAGATGAAGTGGGACCACGTCGTAGCTAGGAGAGGTGATTTCATGACAGATTTCTATTCAAAGTGGACCGCAGACTAGGGCCAAGAGAAGGTTTCCAAAGTAAGTGGATGAGATAGGTGTGCAGAAAATTCATAGAGGGTCATGTTTGGAAATGACTTTAAAGATTGCTCTCATGCCTCCCTTCCCTTTTGCCATGAGTATGCCAAGACCCAGAGAGTTCCTAGATGGGTGAGTGACTTGTAACCCACTGCCCTTCCTACCTAACTGGAAACCTGATGTCATCACAAGGCTCACATCTAAGAGAACAAGACCGAAAGGCAGGTGGAGTGGTTTGTTGGCTAAGTGGTTCCCGTCCTTCTACATTCACAGGTGTTGGAAGAGCTAATATGTATCGAAGGGCTGGCTTGGTCTAGATACTGTGTGCCTGATACTACCCAAACTAAATAGAGGGATATCCCAAAACTAGGAGGAATTCATTTCAAAATGCAATTGGTGCTACAAATAGGTTTGAGTTATGAAGTCAGGAACCGGAATATATCCTAAATTCTTTGCAAAGATCCTGAAATATTTGAAAAATTTTCTGCAGTATTGATGCAGTTTGTCTTGATTTTGGGCTGATAAGTCAAGTATTTTAAATTGCAGATGCTTCCCAGTAATAGATAGCTCTCTTTTGGGAGGTGGGGGTGGTAATCAGGGAATGCAGCTACCTCTGGGCTGATTTATTTCCCTCGAAGCAAGCAGCAAATAGCCTTGCTTATTATTGGTCATAGTTATTGCACTATTCATAATCTGTTTCCCCGAAAGACTCATATCGCAATGATGAATGATAGCATATGTATGGAGCAGAGTGAATTTATGACAGGCAGCATTTTCATTTGCTCATAACATGAACAGAAATTAGGTCTGCACCGTGTTCAGGCTGTGTTGGGCAGCCGCTATTCTGCTCCCAAACTCACCTTTGGAGCGTACTAGTGAGTAGATACATTGCTAACCCATATTCATGTGCAAACTCCACTCTCTGAAGATAGGACAGGTCTCTCTCACTTTTACATCTCTCAGAATCCCATTCATGTTGCATGATACAATGAGCAGCCTGGAAGACGTTCAAATGAACATAATGCTTTTATTGGGATTTTCTTCCCCCCTCACAGCGATTAACATGGGCAGGGTCTGACTGCATGTTGGAGCATGTTTTATGTGCATTAACTCATCCAAGCCTCAACAAACTTTTGAGGAAAATATCTGATTTACCACCAAGTGCTTGTAAGGAAATATAGGTGCAAAGATATGGCACAACTTACAAAATTAAATGATACAGCTAACTAAATTATAGAGTGGTATTGAATTCCAGGCTAATGGTGCTAAACTGTAAACACTGCAGGCTTAATCATGACACTCTCCTGACCCTTATTTCTCCCAGGCACATGTGAATGTGTATGCGTGGTGTGGTGAGGCTGTATTTTTTGTCCAAATTTCTAAGATTTTATGCTATTATAATTTATTTCAATCTTATGCTTTTCACTGAATTCTTATTGTAAATACTAATTTCATTTATTTATTAACCTGTGCTTTTTTTTTTATTCACATGTTTCGTGGTGCATGTTTTTGTGTGTGCAGGTGTATATCTGTATGGAGTGCACTGCATGTGTCTATAGGTGTATGTGGAGGGCAAGGGACAACCTTGGGTGTCATCCTGAGGAATGCTGTCTACCTCCTTTGTGGCAATATCTCTCCTGGACCAAGAATTCACCAATTAGGCTGGATGTTAAGTCCCATGGGGTTCTACAGTCTCTGCCTCCCCAGCATGGGAGCATAAGGATGCTCTACCACACCAGCCAGTCTTATTTGTTCTGTAACTCAAACTCAGGCTATCAAGTTTATGTAACAAGCACTTTACCAGTGGGGCTATCTCCTCGTATTTATCCTCACAAATATTAGTTTCAAAAAGCTTTTGTTCCACTAATACCTATGTTTGTGCATGTACCATGTTAGATGTCTACCATGTATCTCATCTATTCTTTTTATTTTTAAAATGCTATTTATTCACATTAACTGGCTTTTAAAGTTTTACCCTGAGCTCAGACAAAATTCTCTCCACTTTCCTTTTTCTTTGCTGCATCTAAATAGAATGATATAGGAATCTTTATGTAATTACATTGTGTAGAATGAATTCATAGATTGCTTTCAGTGATACAACCATTTTCACAATATTCATTTTGTGATTGTAATCTGAGTTGGGAAGTTTGTCTATCTTTTAGAATTTTCTCTTATTGCTTTAGCATTTTAAAATCTTAATTATAGGGGTCTTTCACTGCCTTGGTTAAGTTTATTCCAAGGTTTTACTATTTAAAGTTCTTATACATGGATTTTGTCCCACAAATATCTTGCTGATTATGTTTTTGTGGCTATGAAGTCAGACTACTGATTTCTGTATACTAGCTTTGTATCCTTACACTTTCCTGAAAGTGTTTATTGGGAGGCTATGTGGTCTTTCCTACATAGAATCATGTTGTCTACAAATAGGGATAACTTCCTCTCATTTCCTGTTGGTATCGCTCTTATTTCTTTCTCTTACCTTGTTTCTATAATGTATACTTTGGCACTATATTGAACTACAGGTAAGGAAGAGAGCACACTTGTTCCTGACTTTCATGGAAATACTTTGCCACTTATTATATCATATTGTTTTACTGTATTTGGCTCTTAATATGTTTAGTTATATTCCCACTATTCTGTTTTTTTTTTTTTTAAAAAGAGGTTTTCTTTTTTATGATGACAGAATGTTGTTTTTTTTTCTCTTTTTGTAAAGCTCATTGATATGAGCATGTGATGTCTGGGCTTAAATATACTAATGTTATGTAGATTTATAGATTTTCCTACATTATATCATTCTTACATCCTGGGAATAAGGCAATTCTATGAAGGGGGATGATCCAAGGAAAGGTATTACTGAATTTAGCTTGCAAATATTTTCTTAGTAATTTCTCTCCTGGTGTAGTGGCACACGGCTTTAATTCTAGCGCTCTAGAGGCAGAGGCAGGCAGATATCTGAGAATTTGAGACCAGCTTGGTCTACAGAGTGAGTTCCAGGAGAGCCAGGCCTACATAGAGAAACTCTGTCTTGTAAAAAACAAAAATGAAAGAAAACAACAAAAAGCATTTCTCATCCACATTTACCAGGGAGATTAGATATAGTTTTTTTTCCTTTGTGTGTGTTTATCGAGTTTTGGTATCAATGTAATTCTGGATTCACAGCATGAGTTTTATGGTATTTATTTCTCACTTCTTTTTTTTTTTTTTTTTTTTTTTTTTTTTTTTTTTTTTT